ATTAAACCGAGCCAGCAGCTCTTTCGTAAACTTACAGCAATTAGAGTCGCAAGCGATTTACACTCGTTTCTTTAAGGTGTAAATTGCCACTTAGTGCTCAGTAAGTCAACATTTGAGCTCCTAAAGGATTATTTTTAGCCAGCGCGAAAAGCGGGTCGAATAATGGAAAATAACCAGCTGAATTTAATTTGTGCCATTAAAAGGACTCACCCAATCTCGGTCAAAATGTTTTAAGCAACATCGCGCACTACTTAAGCGTTTCCAAGTCTTTGCCGGAGTTTTGTTCCGAAACGAAAATGCAGGCTTTCTCGGCCGGCCTCGGCGTCTGAGAACTCGAGCCTGGGGGCGGGCGGGCACCCCGAACGCGCGCTGCCCGCTCCTCGCCATTTCTAACTTCGTCTCCCTCCCCCCAAGCCCCGGGGAGTGCCCAGAGAGCCACCAGCCCAGCCTGGGGGTCTCCGGGACCCTCTGCCGGACTCTGCCTTTCCGGTCGCTTTCTAGGAGGGAAGCCGAGGGGCTCCCCCGCCGCAGCGCCCTCTCGCGCGCTGAGTTTAGCAGAAAAGCTCCAAGCGCGCTGGATCTTCCCAGCCAGCGTGGGAGCAAAGTCAGCGGCGCCGATGCGGGTCCCACGGGGGCCTCCTAACGCGCTGCAGATGGTTTTCAAACTAACAACGCAGGGCACCCGAGAGCCCTGACTCCCGCGTGAGGGGCGAGCTTGTCAGGACCCCCAGACCGTGTAATTCGTTTTGTAGCCTAAGGTTTGCTTCTTTGGGTATTTTAAGTAAAAGGCTCTCCAGGCTCGCGCTGGAATCCCCGAGGCCTTTCCCCAATCCGGTCTCCCAGGACGTCGCCGAGGGCCCGCGGCAGCGCGCTGTGTCCTGCGGCCAGACGTGCGCCCTGTGGCCGGCAAGTGTCCGCGTGGGGAGCAGGGTCTCCGGCTCCACCCGACAGTCGCCCAGTCCTCCCGACCCCTCTACCAACCGCCACGAACGTCACGGGAAATAAACAAAAGCGCGACTCACATGGATGTACGAGCGCCTTAGGCTCGGGGCTTCCTCTCCCAAATTACAGGCTCCATGCCTCAGGTTAAGTGAGCTTTGGGGAGGGAGGGCAAATGATTACTGACTAAAGCTACTACGTAATAAAAAAAAATTGCCAGGTCTAAAGATGAGGCCGCTACAGGTAGTTTCTGAACCTCGTTTTGAAGCCCAAACAACTCGAATTTCAAGGACACTCTGATTCAGCTGGTCTGGCCAGGCCATCGGCTTGCTCACCTTCGCGGGGGAAACTGCCAGCTCCGGCACGTCCTTGTCTTCTAGTTTACACACAAACATCTGATCGCTCTTCCAATACATGGCACTGTTAGGGCTTCGTATCACATACCAACTCCGGAGGGTCAGAGGCTGTCCGTATCTGCCGATCTCCCCCCCTCCTCCGCCCCAATGCACTAATGGGAGCTGACACCGGGAGGGACGAGGGTGCTACAAGTGTGTCTTCGGCCAAACAGGCCACTGTGGCCGTGACCATTCTCTGACGGGCTCTCTTCTTCCCCAACTTCACTCAGGTCTGTCCTTTCAGGAAAAGAAAAAAAAAAAAGTTTTGTTTTCCAGAGGGTGGGACCTTACATAGAGGGAGGAGGTGTGGGGGAAAGTGTTTTCCTGGAGGAATAGCTTCACCTCCTTAAGGAAAGCCCGCCTTCTCTACATGTTAAGATTTTATCAGGACGGCCAACTTACTCCAGGTTTATTATTAAAGGGAAAAGAAAAAAAAATTGGGGATGGCCTGTTAACTTGACTTTTTAAAATGTCTGCTCTCTGCATTTGCCATGACTTTTAAATTCTCGCTCCCCAACCAAAACCTAAACAAAGATTCAGGTTACATCTCTTTCTGCAGCAAGCATGAGGGGAAGGGAGGTCTGGGTGACTTGAACGTTTTAGTCATCTCTTGAAACGCAGCTCTTCAGTCTAGCAGAGGAACCACTCGCTGGCAGCCTGGGGGCTGACTTATCTAGTGGTTCCTGCTCCCTTTGCGAAAAGTTTTCTCATTAAGATAAAGAAGGAACATCTGAGGAACACAAACGCTTATGATTTGCGACTAGATTTGAAATCAAGGCTGCAAGAAAGATAAAAGTACGTTGCTAATGAGCGTGGCCCTTTTTAACAATGAAAATACTTTGCAGCAT